GACGCCTCCGGCACGAACCTTGGCATCAATCGCACGAATAAACTCATCTAAAACCTGTTCTTGCCGGATCCTCTCCCTCAGCGTCGGCTGAACCTGCATAGAATTCACACTCCCCGTACTGGCTGTAGGAAGTGCATCAATCACCTGAATTTACATCCGGGCGAACTCATGGATTAACTGACTCTGCTGAGTAACAATGTATGTCAAGTCACCCTTTACCTTGCGGCTCAGGGCATCAGCAACTACATTCACCTTCCCCGGATGGTACTGGATCGTACAATCATAAACCTTGATGAGTTCTAACCAACGGCGTTGCCTCATATTGAGTTCCTTCTGAGTAAAGATATACTGTAAGCTTTTATGATGGGTGAAAATTTCGCATTGACCGTCGTATAGATAGTGTCGCCAAATCTTGAGGGCATGAACAACTGCAGCTAATTCCAAGTCGTGCGTCGGGTAGTTCTGTTCATGTGGTTTAAGTTTGCGTGAAGCATAAGCAACGACCTGGCCATCTTGCATAAGTACACATCCTAAACCCTGCCTCGAAGCATCACTATAGATGGTGAAGCTCCGAGAAGGATCTGGAATAGTCAACACCGGTGCCGTCGTAAGCCTCCGTTTCAGCTCCTGAAAACTCGACTCACAACGGTCTATCCATTCGAACTTTACAGACTTCCTCGTCAGCTGAGATAAAGGGAGGGCAATCTTCGAGAACCCCTCAATAAACCTGCGATAATAACCTGCAAGGCCGAGGAAACTACGAACCTCAGACGGATTCTTCGGTGCTGACCAATTCTGAACTGCAGCAATTTTGGAAGGATCAACTTCAATACCTGCTGAAGTAATAATGTGGCCAAGAAAAGCCACTCGTTGAAGCCAAAACTCGCACTTGGAGAACTTTGCATATAACTTCTCGCGTCTAAGGGGCGAAAGAACGGCCCTCAGGTGCTCCTCGTGCTCCTTCTGGCTCTAGGAATAAATAAGGATATCATCGATGAAGACAATAACAAACTGATCGAGAAAAGGATGAAATACACGGTTCATCAAGTCCATGAATAATGCCGGGGCATTACTGAGGCCAAACGGCATAACCACAAACTCGAAGTGACTGTATCTCGTACGAAAAGCTGTCTTGGGTATATCTGACTCCTTGATTTTCAGCTGATGGTAGCCTGAACGCAAATCTATCTTGGAAAACACGCAGGCACCCCTCAACTGATCAAATAAATCATCGATCCTGGGAAGCGGATATTTATTCTTGATCGTCAACCGGTTAAGATCCCGGTAGTCAATACACATACGCATGGATCCGTCCTTCTTCTTGACAAAGAGAACGGGTGCTCCCCAAGGAGAAACGCTCGGTCGTATAAAACCGAGATTCAACAACTCTTGAATTTGGGTCTTTAGTTCTTGTAATTCTTTAGGCGCCATTCTGTACGGTGCCTTCGAAACGGGTCCGGCTCCAGGGATAAGATCAATCGAAAACTCCACCTGTCGGCTGGGTGGACCTCCGGGAAGCTGGTCTGGAAACACGTCCACGAACTCACGATCGATAGGAATGTCATGAGGTGAACGTGCCTTTGGCTCGTCTCCAACGAGGCTCACAAGGTAACCTTGGCAATCACCCCGTCGAAGAATCTTTCTGGCTTTCGCCATAGAAATAACATGTGGCAGAGTACGAGTCCTGGAGCCGTAATAAGTGATCTGATCATCTCCCGAAAGATAAAGAGTAATCTCTCGGTCGTGACATCGGATATCTGCGTGAAAACGTGTTAACCAATCCATACCGAGTATGAGGTCAAAATCCCTCATCTCGATAACATAAGCATCAGTAATCAGAATACGGCCGCCGATGGAAAGGCTGAGATAGGTGGCTCTAGTGTCAGTCACTATCTTTCTTCCCAAGGCTAAACTCACCTCGAGAGGATCCACAGCGGTAGTGGAACGAACCCCAATAGCTTCGAGACATCGACGCGATATAAAGGAATGGGTCGCTCCAGTATCAAATAAGGCATAGACAGACACATCATTAAGAATAATCATCCCGGACATGGTACCTGGGTGCTGGTCGGCCTCTCTCTGGTCAACTGCAAAGACACGGGCCTGCTGTCTGCCACGTGGCTGTTGCTGGGGTCGTGGTGGCTGCTGCCTGGCTTGCTGTTGTTGAGGTTGCTGCGGTGGTTGACGTTGTTGCGGTTGTTGTTGCAGTCGTTCAGGACAGTTGGTGCTGAAGTGACCTGGCTGGCGGCAAAAGAAACAAACATTCTGGCCCACGAGGCATTCTCCACGGTGGTGTTTCCCGCAGGTTGGGCATTTTGGATATTGTCTGGGATGGGTCCTCCGGTCATCAAGAGTGTTTTTGAACTTCCTCTTCTTCTGGTTCTTTGACGGTTGGGCAACTTTGGGCTGGGCTGGTGGTTGAGCAACTGGCTGGGCTGGTGTCTGGGTGGCTTCTCGTCGGATACTGGCATCGACTTCTTGTGCAATGGCAACTGTGCGGGCGTAGGTCTGGACGCTGTGACCTACGATGTTGTGGCAGACTGCTGGGCGAAGTCCGTCGGTGAAACGATGGGCTCTCTTCGCCTCCGTACCCACAAGATCAGGTACAAAGGCTCCGAGACGGGTAAACTCTCTTTCGTACTCATCAACAGAACGAGTACCCTGGACGAGTGCCAAGAACTGGCGCTCCATGTCTTCTCGGTAATACGAGGGATAGTACTTCTCTCGGATCAGCTCCTAGAATTGATCCCACGTACAACCGTCTTTCTCGCCGGGACGCATACTCCAATAGGCATTCCACCAGAGTCGGGCATCCCCGGTCAACTGAATTTGGGCACATAACATACGATAACGATCAGGGCAATCCATGACCTCGAAAATCATCTCGAGGCCCTGAATCCATTCATCTACTATACGAGGATCTCCTTGGCCGAAAAACTTTTCTGGTTGGTAGTCGCGAAACTGTGCGACTACTGTGGACTGGGAGCGTTCCTGGTGTTCTGGATCTCTACGAGGAGGCATCTGAACATTGAAATGTTTAACATTATTAATAATATAAGAGATTAACTGACTGACTACTTAAGTACACAAATTTCTTGACGAGTCGCTAAATAACCTGAGAATACTAAAGTCGAACTATCAAGTAACTGGGACAATCGACTATGTTATGAAAATACTCGAGTATCTTACTGATTTCTAGGGTTAAATAATCTGGTACCCTCTAACTGGGCATAGACTTAAGCATTCGTTTAAATATATATAAACTAAAACTCAGCACTTACCTGATAGTCGGCGAGGCGTGAGCGTAGCGTGGTCGGGTCTTTTCTGAAAATTTCTGACTTAAAAAGTATTCAGAAACACAAAAATGTGCTCTGATACCAATTTGTAACACCCCGCTAGGCGGCTGGTGCATAGGCTACACAGGCTGGGACTATCGAGCACTCGGGCGTGCTGCCGGGCATCGTCGAGACTCGTTGGGCACCGCTGGTATGCTGTTAGGTGTATTGGCGTGCGTAGCTGTTCGGCCAGCGTGCGTGGGACGCTGCTGGCACGCGTACGTGCTTCGCGGGACACGCTGCTGGGCGTGTGACGCGTCGCTGTGTACGCGGGCTGGGTGGACAGGCGCTGTAGTGCGTTGTCATACGTGTGGACGCGCATTATGCACGTCTGTACGCGTGACTGCAGCACCACAAGGTTTGACTGCCGAGTACGGGGCACGCGTGCGCGTTACTGGGCGTGCGGACGCTGCCTGTGTACTCGCTGGGCTGGCCGGGCGTGCCTGCGCGCACTCCGCGTGCAGTAGACATCACAGTCGGCGTTTCGCCGGCCGTTCGACTACTTTTTCCGGTGATCCACTTATGACTGGACATGTTTTGACTTAAATCACTTAAATATGCATAAAGTGTTCGGGGCTTGCCGGTTAAAAATTGAAGTTACTCGGAGGGAGCTTATATGGCATCTCCGAGGATATTTTCATATAAAACTCGAACCGACAACTAGATTTTGACATGCTCTTCTTATAATGAACTGAATAACATAAACAGAGGGTAAACAAGAATGTACCCTTCAATTCGGACGAGAAGTGTGCGATGGTATGCGTGCGTGCGCGGTAGTCCTTTAACGTCCTTATGCTTCTCCCTTGCTTCGGTAATACTTAGGTATTTTTGTACTATTTTTCTCTTATTTTTCCTTGTTGTTTTCTCTCTCAATTATACGCTGAAGTTGGTCGGATTTTGGTGCATGAAATGTACATGAAAAGTTACACGTTCGGTCATTCTATTTATGGTGAAAACTGTGTGGTAAACTTGGGGTCAATGAGGTGAGTGATGATGCGTTTTCCCCCAACTCCAAGTGTCTCAATCGTGGGCTGAAGTGTGGCATGTTTGGCTTAGTCATCGGCCGAGGTGGCGGCCATGCACGGCTTAGTCACCACTCGTGCGTCCGTGTCGTGCCATGTGTGCAAGTAAGGAGGTGACTCACCACACCACTTGCACACCCAAACTCTATCTTTGGACGGCAATCTTAAGAAAAGGATTTGGGACTTGCTTTGGTTAATCATAGGACATAGTGACATAAGCGTGTGTGTTTAAGGGGCTTGATGACGCGCGCGGTGCGCGGTGCGCGACAATGCGCGCGATGCGCGCTCGCGTGCATAATCATATGCACGGCACGCATATACGCGTGCGTGCTTAGTGTACTTTGGTACATTCATGACTTAACATGGCTTTGACATTAAATTCCGAACATGTTGAACTATTAATAATTAATCCCGATTAATAATGTCCGTTTATAAAATAAACAGATCGAAAATTAATTATCGAATTTGACTCGGTTAATAATTAACCGAATTGACTTTTCGACTTAACGTCGAACGTATTCGCTTAAAATGAACGGAATTAATAAAAGATAATACATCATTTATATTGACAAGAAGTTGGGTTATTACACGGGCGTCGAGCAGCAAGGACGCGGATCACGCTGGGCGCGCGAGTAGAGGTGACGCGGGCGGGAGCTGAAGCCAGGTAGGAGTAGGCATAGCGGGCACAGACGCGCACGCGCGAGGAGCAAGAGACGAGCACGCGACGCAAGCTGAGGGACGCGATTGGAGCGCAGACGCGGGCGGAGGCCTAAGCCTCGCGGGCTTAGGAGTGGTGGGCGTGCACGCGCGAGAGGAAGGCGGCGATTGCTGGGAGCGCGCGTTGGCACGCGAGTGGGAAGCAGGCGCGCGAAGCCTAGTCCCCGCAGGACTAGGCGAAGCAATGGCGGCGGATGACGCGTGGGAGGCACGCGCGAACCCGCGCGCGACTAGAAATAGGCAACGCAAGTTGACACGCACGGATGGGAGGCGGTCGAAGTGCGATGAGGTGGCCGAACTTGGTGTGCAAGCCAAGTTACTTGGAGATCAAGACTAGTAATATTATCAGGATTCTATTTCCATATTGCATTAGTAGATCTAATATGTTTAGGATTTAATATTTTATTGCTTTAATAAGTTCCTTAGTAAGATTAGGTTTAGACTAAGTTAGGATCTATAAATAGGGATCATCCCTCATTGTTTTTATAGTCCAGATATGATGAGTTAATAGAAAAGGAACGTTTGTTCAAACCGTGTGTTAGGATTCGTGAGAGTTCGATCATGCAATTGAATTAGTGAGGGTAAGACCCGAGCTAGTTCAAAATCGAGGGAGCGAGGCTAATTACCAAGTGAACTCAAGTATCGTGAGAGAGTTAGGCTAATAACCGAGTTGATCACACCTATCGTTGAGAGCAAGGTCGTGGCGACGCGTTGTTCGAGGCAAGCTTGTGGAACAAAACACACGATCCTTCATCATTGGTGCTTTCGTTGAAAGTGATTGATTGTGTGTTTCGTTGAACTTTTCCTATCCCATTCTTTTTCCTTTTTGTCCGATTTTTCCCCCCTTGTTCGAATTTTTTTCGAATTTCTTCTTCTTTTTTCAAAAATTTTTTAGAGTATCAAAAAAAAAAAAAAAGAGAGAGTCATGATGTTTGAGCAATTGGACGAGATGGATTTGGATGATCTCGAATATCTAGAAGGTTTGGAGAGGTGTTTGACTCCGGATGAGCTAGAGTATTTGGAGGAGCTCCACGAGCCAAACAGCTTAGGAGAGAAGGGTGCCAAAGAAGCTGAAGAAGCCAAAGTTGCGAACCATGACGAGGAAGGTAGGCTAAATTTCATTATTCTTGAGGACAAGGAAAGTCTTGAAGAGGAGGGGAATGATACGGAAGTGGTCATCAACCCGGGTGAGTCATGTGATGGAATGGTTGAAGATCTCGATGTATGGTTGGAAAACATGCTGGAGGAGCCATCAAGCCCGATTTATCGGCCTTCATGCGTGAGAGATTGGCCAAAAGGATGTGATCCACGGTCTAAGTTAAAGTCTGGGAAACGCAAGGGTAAAAGGCGACGCAAGGCAAAGGCTAATAAAGCAAGTCATTGTCGTGGGCCGTGTACGAGGCAGAAACGAGCGTGGCGCTCGGAGGTTCGGAGATGTGGTGTGCGAGGGGTAAAGACGGGTGGTGGATGCCGGCGGGTGACTGCATCGCGCCAACGAAGGAATGCGCAAGCATGGACGGACGGCTAGTATGCGAAGTGCGCACATCGAGTGATGATGCACGCGATTATGAGAACGGCACACGGGCAGCGCTGGGTGTACGCAGGTGCGCGGTAGGCGAGCAGGCCATGGGAGTTGGCTAGGACACGCGGGCGTCGGGCAGCGAGGACGCGGATCACGGTGGGCGCGCGAGTAAAGGTGACGCGTGCGGAAGCCGAGGTCGGGTAGGAGTAGGCATAGCGAGCACGGACGCGCACGCGCGAGGAGCAAGAGACGAGCGCATGACGCAAGCCGAGGGATGGGATTGGAGCGCAGGCGCGGGCGGAGGCCTAAGCCTCGCGGGCTTAGAAGTACTGGACGCGCACGCGCGAGAGGAAGGCGGCGGTCGCTGGGAGCGCGCTTGGCACGCGAGTGGGAAGCAAGCGCGCGAAGCCTAGTCCGCGCGGGACTAGGTGAAGCAATGGCGGCGGATGACGCGTGGGAGGCGCGCACGCACGAAGCCGCGCGCGACTAGGAATAGGCAACGCAAGTCGGCGCGCGCGGATGGAAGGCGGTCGAAGTGCGATGAGGCAGCCGAACTTCGTGTGCAAGCCAAGTTAATTGGAGATCAAGACTAGTAATATTATTAGGATTCTATTTCCATATTGCATTAGTAGATCTAATATGTTTAGGATTTAATATTTATTGCTTCAATAAGTTACCTTGTAAGATTAGGTTTGGAATAAGTTAGGATCTATAAATAGGGATCATCCCTCATTGTTATTAAAGTCCAGATATGATGAGTTAATATAAAAGGAACGTTGGTTCAAACCGTGTGTTACGATTCGTGAGAGTTCGACCATGTAATCAAATTAGTGAGGCTAAGACCCGAGCTAGTTCAAAATCGAGGGAGCGAGGCTAATTACCAAGTGAAATCAAGTATCGTGAGAGAGTTAGGCTAATAACCGAGTCGATCACACCTATCGTTGAGAGTAAGGTCGTGGCGATGCGTTGTTCGAGGCAAGCGAGTGGAACAATACACACAATCCTTCATCAACGGTTATCGGCGTGCTGTCGTGCACTTTCGACGGATACTGGGCGCTGGGACGCGCAACTAGGCGCTGTCGGGCGCAACTGGGCGCGACTGGCCACTGTCGAGCGCACTGGCTGCGGCACTGGCGTGTACTGGCACTACCGGGCGCTACTGTGCACCGCGGGCAGGCTACTGGGCACGCGGGTTACGCAGCTCACGCGTACTGGGGTGACTGGGCAATCGGGCATGCTGTCGGGCACTGGCCGAGGCCTGCTGGGCACTGCTGGCGTGCTGCTGGGCGCGCTGGCGTGCGTTAGGGCTGGCCAGCGTGCGCGGGGCGCTGCTGGCTGGTGGTATGCCCTTGTGCTGCGGGCGATTGGGGCGCTGCCCATGCTCGCTGCACGCTGCGGGCATACGCACATGCTTGACTGCGTGCTGCCGGGCGCGCTGGCGTGCACTGCACGCATGGCCGCTGTGATGACGGATCACGGTTTCTGTCTATTGGTTGTGAATAATCGCGCACTCAGGGCCTTCGACTAAACACGATAGGTGTGACTTCAAGACGCTCTCAGGGTCTTCTCTCCGACACGGTTGTATGATAATCACGCACTAATGGCCTTGCTTAAACACACGATTGAACACAACATTCTTTTCTATTCACTCATCAATTCTGGACATTAAAAACAATGAGGGAGCATCCCTATTTATAGACCCTAACTTAGTCTAGTCCTAATCTTACTAGGGAACTTATTAAAGCAATAAAATATTAAATCCTAAACATATTAAATCTACTAATGCAATAAGGAAATAGAATCCTACTACTACTGATTAATCTTGCTCTCCAAGTAACTTGAGCTCCAAGTCGACCGCCCCACATGTGCACCGCCCGAGCGCGCGCCGCCAACTTGCGGACTCCTAATCCTCGTGGCGCGCGGCTTCGCGCGCGCGCTGTGGTGAGTGAACCAAGAGTGTGACGCGGTTGTTGTCTATTTGGTGTGAGTAATCGCGCACTCAAGGCGTTCGACTACACACGATAGATGTGACTAACAGACGCACTCAGGGCCTTCTCTTAGACACGTGTGACTTCAAGACGCACTAATGGCCTTCTCTCCGACACTGATGTGAACACGCACTACGGCCTTGCTTAACACACATTAGAACACCAAGTTCCCCTTTTCTATTCACTCATCAATTCTCAACCTTAAAAACAATGGGGGAAGACCACTATTTATAGATCCTAATTACCTCTAGTTCTAATCTTACTAGGGAACTAATAAAGTAATAAAATATTAAATCCTAAGGTAAGTAAATATCCTACTACCATAAAATCCTAAATCTACTAGATCTCCTAATTACTTGGCTTGCACTCCAAATCCTTGCCTTTCACTCCAAGTCGCCCCAAAGTCTCCTAGTCGTCCGCCGCCTCGGTCTTGCGCTGCCCTCGAGCCTCGCCCTAGCCCTCGAGGACTAGGGCTGCAACACCTTCGCCCATGCGTGTATGTCCTCTCGCCTCGAGGCTTAAGGCCTCGCCCCATGCATACGCCATTCCTATCCCTTGAAGGATCATGCTTCAAGCCCATATCCACTATTCCTATTCCTACTAGGAATATGCTCCCGTCTACGTTGTTTGATCCGCCGAGGATTACTCCCGTCATCGATCTTTCACGCGCGTTCCGGCACTCAGCTGCTTTTCCTATTCCTGTGGGGTTTAGTATTCACGCCTTGCTTATTCCTACGAGGATTAGGCTTGTCACCTTGGTCTTGACTTGGGTCCCGTGCTCGTCGCTTAGCACCTCACGCTCGCCCAACGTGCCTCGCGCTCGCCCAACGTGCCTCGCTTGTCACCCAGCGCGCCCAATGCCAGCGCATCGCCCATCGCTCGATGCGCGCCCGTCCATCCACAGCAACCCCCCTCGCGCGCCGTCCACCCAACAACCTCCCCCTACGCGCCACTTCACCTAACCTCCAAGCGCCATGCGCGTCTACGCCAATGCGCGTGTGCGCGCCCTTGCTTAATGCACCTCTCCGTACGTGTGAGCGTTGCCAGCCTCGAGACCATCTTCTCGCGTGCCTTCGCGCCTCGCATACGAGCTCGTACCTGCCTCTTAGGCCATGCGTGCGTCGTTTTGGCCCTATTTTCAGCCTCCTCGGGTCCTCTCGACTCTTGGACTTTTTCGTCGTCGGGGTTCGAAACCCACTTCCGCATCACGCTGCTCCCACGCGCTAGCCACCGCCTCCGCTACTCCTACTCCCGCGAGGCATGGGGTCGTCTGCTCCACAATCGCGTGCCATAGCGCACGTCCTGTTGCTGCTGAACTCCTCGCGCGCGTGCGCGCCGTCACCCAGCACTCCTATGCCCATGCGGTCTAGGCCATCGCCCGAGTTGCCCCATGCGTCGCTGCCCGCGCACAATGTGCGCTTGCACCCGGACTGCCGCGCGTCCCAATCAATGCCTGCACACCTGCCACCCGCGAGCTCGCGTTCACCCCGCACAGCCCGCGTGCGCAGCTTGTTCGCCCAATCGTGCGCATCATGGGTCGATGCGCACCTTTTGCACTTTAGCCGTCCATCTTCGCTAGACTTGCCGGTGTTGATCTTCACTTCCGTATCATTCCCCTCCTCTTCAAGACTTTCCTTGTCCCCAAGGATAAGAAAGTTCAGCACATCCACATCACTGTCACTGTCCTCTTCAATAGGAGAATCGTCTTGATCTTCAGTCTCAACTTAATGCGCTTCCCTGGCCGACCAAACTCCATCTTCCCTCGCTTATAGTCGATCGTAATGGGAC